TAGGTTTAAAAATTCTATTAAAAATAATGATGATAAAAGAATATTGGAACAATACAGAAGTAATAATATAATCTAGGTAATATAATGGTGTAGCTACAAAACACATTTTTCCAGTCAGTGCTGAAGCAAGCAAAGTTTATCTTTAAAAACTATGATTTACTATAAAGCTGTCAAACATGGATATTGAAACAGGCTTAAGGGAAATCAGTACTCCAATGAGGTCTAGCTACATTTTTAAGAGTTTACACAAAACTTCAAGATGATTTATTTGGCAGCTAGAGATACGTAACAACATGTGGTTGTGGATGTTCTGTACACTATTCCTATCTTGGATTTGTTTCCTGTATCACACCCTGTAAACTTTAATTTATTTTTGCATTCTTTAGGGGGAGATTGCTAATGTGTGAGCAGGGGATTGGCGTCAGGATTGCTTGATTCCCAGCTTTGTCATTAACATGACGTATGGTTTTAGTCAAAGCACTTGACCTTTCTAGTGTATCCTTTTTCGGGTTTCCATTTTCTCATCAGTTAAATGGGGACAATCCTTTCCTACCCAATGGCACTGTTGTGTGATTTAATTTGTTAATGTTTTTCAAGTATTTTAGCATCTATTTATAAGAGGCACGATATGTGCAAAGTGTTTTATTTTGTGTCTGCACATAGTATATTATTTTAATGTTAGTTTAGATACTTTTGGAATATTACTTTGTCCTAAGGATTTCTGCTCATTTGAGTACTTGGTTATATATATCTATGAGACAGGTAGTTTGAATGACAGTGGTCAAAATATTTTAAAATACCACGCTAATTAACATTGTATATGCTCTAACTGGTTTTATGAAGGATGATAGATATACAAACATTTGTTTACCATTTATCACAAATAGCCCATTCTTAAACTAGCCTACTACATTTTCTACATTTACTTATTATTTGATCTTATGATCAGTATTTTGGTCACGCACAATATTATTATGATGTCTTTCTTCCAAATTAACAGACAGTTGCTAGGAACAATAAACATGCAGAAATGGGGACATCTCTAATCTCTCTTCTTGACTTGTTTTACCTACTTAATATTTTGTCGTGTCTCTTGACTGGCCTGGTACAGGGCCTGAAATTTGCCTTAGGTACTGTTTCTGCTGCACAGATAGCTGGTACTATTTCTTTGGTTTCCAAAGAAATCTTGAAGATAATAGGTTAGAGGAGAAATAGCTATGGCTGACAGGCACAGATAAGTCAAGTAGCCAGTACTAGTGGACACAGTTCCAAGATCAGAATTTCTTTCTGTACATATGATAATACTAGGTGAATACTGAAGGTGCATAATGAAGAATAGCATGGAGACTGTGCAACATCACACACGTCATGGAAACCATGGAGAAAATCTATGAAAGTTGAGTAGAGTAAATACAAGTACTATCCTGATGCAGAGTTATTAGTTTACTCCAGCCTAATAGCCCTTCACATGTAGATGCAAGATGTTTACTGCTGAGCTAATTAGTCTATTCTGTAGTAAATGCCTTGTGTAGATGTGCACACTGGCAAAGAAATGATACAGTGCACTGACTGGCTGTGATACTGTACCTTTATGGGGCCAAATCTACAGACTTTATTCACAGCTGTGGTCCTACCAAAAACAAGGCTGGAAGTGTGTTGTAACATTAAATCGAACAAATATCAAACTTGTAATATTTTGTATTTATCTTGCTTTTTAATTTTTATTGGTGTGCCACACTTCATTCTGTTTCTCCAACTTATGCCCTTGTAGCAGGAAAAAGCAAATTTTCATAAGTCTGTTTTTATTTCCTACTTTCACCATCTGCATTATTACTTCAGCACACAGAAAATGGTGATGGATGAGTGACACCCATCAAACATTACTACCTAGTGCAAGAGAGGAAGCAGAGAGAAAATATCAGATCCTAATATGAGAAACTCACTGATCATAAATTGTTGCCTCCTGTATCAAGGTTGCAAATAGTAAAGATACGACATTCTGACAGAGAAGTGACACCCATCAAAATTTCCTTGAAGAAGCTTCCTTCTTTTTGAACCCAAGATGATAGGATCACCATATTTTAATGCCAGAAGCATTCAAGAGCTAGGCATTTTGTGATGTTACATCATGACTCTGAGTTAATTTTTGTTTACTCGGCTGTTCCTGCTTGTAGCACTGGAATTTTGAAACACAAAACCTGACTCTAAACAGTTAATATAAAGTGGGTTGGAAGAGGTGGGTAGGAAAGTCTTAATATCATGTAAAAATCAAGAAGGTATATCAGTGATTGTCAACTAGGGCAGGGGTAGGCAACATTTTTTGGCCAGAGTGGCAAAAAACACCACAATGCCTACCTTGGAAGGTGCCGGAGTGCCGGCATGCCAGAAAAACTAAATAAGGGCAGCAGGTACATGGCAGGATGCCCTGCTTGTGCCCCTTGCCCCCCACCCAAAGCCCCTGCCCCCCAGCCCTGCTGCTCCTGCCCGCCACCCAAAGCCAGCTACCCAGAGCCGGGGGAGACTGCAAACAGCTGTGCCAGGCTCTGGAGCCCTGGCAACAGCTCTGTACCGGCGTGTGCAAGCACACCTCAGAGCGGGAAGTGGGGGAGGGGCCTGAGGCAGCGCAACCCCGGTGTCTCCCCTGCTCCTGGCACAGAGCTGGTGACTGGGCTCCAGAGCCTGGTGCAGCTGTTTGTAGCCAGCCTGGGCTCTGGGCAGCTGCAGCAAGCAGCGGGCAGGCTGCAAACAGCTGCGCTGGGCTCCACAGTTCCAGCATCAGCTCCATGCGCATGCAGCCACTGCAAGCAAGGCCTGCTTGGAGCAGCCTGGGCTCTGTTGCTGGCAGCAGCTACCCAGAGCCAAGGCTGGCCATGGCATGACAAGCAAAATGGCCTCATGTGTCATGCTTGGCACGCATGCCAGGGGTTGCTGACCCCTGAACTAGGGTGTCAGGGCACCCAGGGTGCCACAGCATCTTTTGAAAGATACTTCAGGAATTGTGAAGAGATAGGTAAATAAAAGCTATCCTGCCCCTCTGCAAGGAGGTAAATACTGTCATTAATAGCCAACCATTTGTGAATAGAGCACTACCTCATTTAAAAAACTATGATGGGGCACCTTGAGTCTAGGGAGGCTAAGAACCACTGATCTAAAGTATTTTTAGTTAATCAATATTAAATAAATATTGGGCCAAATCCAATACTACAGCAGACCTCACAGAGAGAGGTGTGTGTGTGTGTGTGTGGCGGGGGGGGGGGGGGG